GCTTAGCGCTTGATGTTTTTTTTTTCCGCCATTGTGCAGCTGGGCGCACAATCGCTGCACCTGAGTTTTACAGGACTGCCTTTGCTCTTCTCGTCGGTTCATCCTGGTGCCTCACAGGCAGGGGCAACGAGGTAACATCCGCTTCTCCGTGAACAAAGCGCATCACGAAGCCCCTGGGCTCGTTTTTTTTTTTTTTTGCAAGGGAACAGGACACAAAGCTCAGTTTGTGGGAGGGCACAGGTGTCAGTACACATGGATTCCTGTTTAGATGTGCTCACCACTCTGTTTAATCAGATTGTTTTTGTTCTTTTTGTGAATTATTATTCTTGCAGGGGATTCGTTTCCCGTGTGCAGATTACAGAAAATGGGCCAATCAAACTGGCCGCTCGCGTCCAAGGACGCAGATTAAACTGGGAAACGCTGTCAAACGCTGCCAACTTTTCACGCCTGAAACCGGAGATAGGCCCGACGTGATTTCACGCCCGATCTCCCCTAACCTCAGAGGAGGTCCTCCATTTTAGGCACGAATCAGCTCAGAGTTGTGGGCCGCTTGGGCGGGAGTTTGAGAGGAATTTGGATGGCCACGGCCGCTCTCAGACCCAATTTATTTCACTTTTCTTACGCATGTGTCAAGGTGACATCTTTTCCTTAGTCCTCGTCTTTGCGGCATCATCAATCATCCCAGCGGCACACGCGTGCACCTCGGCGTGAGCGTGCTACTGTGTGTGTATGCGTGTGTGTTTGTGTGTGTGTGTGTGTGTGTGTGTGTGCATGGCCCCGAGAAGCCCACCCAGTGAAGCTGTGCCAGAGGCTCATCACATCACATCACAGCGTCAGGGGCATCTGTTTGAAACCGAAATAAAAGCAAGGCCTATGAATAAAAGAGCTGCATGAATAAAAAAACACGGAATGCAAATGACTCGCGAAGCAAAGAACGTGCGCGCGGTTCCAGGCGTGTGTGTGTGTGTGTGTGTGTGTGTGTGTGTGTTTTGAGCGGAAGTGTCGAATCTCCTCCCCGCATTTGTTCCCCATCCCATCATGGCTCCACCTTAGCTTGACTCAGTGAGTGAGCACACACACACATACACACATACACACACACAGACACGCTCTGCTCTCCAAGCTTTCCTCATGCATTAATCAACAGCAGTTTTGACACTTGGAAAGAGGCAGAAAGAGCTGTTTTAACAGAGCCGCGCTGTTGGTTCTCTTCTTCGCTCCACAAGCACTGCGAGCACCGCCTCGGGTGACTTTATCAATTAGGCCTCTCTGGAAACAGCAGGATCATTTTCCTGCTTTATCTCCACCCTCCCCTGTTGCACTCCTCTCCTTCCCTTTCCTTCCTCTCCCCAGATTTGTCCTCTCTGCAACTCTCCCTCTGAATTCCATCCCCATTTCTTGCGTAACCCGGTTAAAACATTGATCACTATTAAAAAGGTTGTTGAAAGGTTGAAATTCACTTAAATGTTGTTAACTTGTTAGGAGCAGTTTGAATGTATATATTGTGTTGTTTGTTTGAGAGATATTGTATCTTGTTGTTCCTCGCTTGTTTTCACTCCGCTGACAGTCGTCCGCGTGTGAGTGCGTTCCGCTTACAGACCAACTGTGGTAAACAGTAAAGCGTCGGGTTTGCTTATCTATATTTAAAGGGCGGCTGCAGCCTGACACTTTTACCTCATCCATGTTGTCCCTGATGTGTCCGCCAAAGGGACAGCTAGAAAAAGCGTAAAAAAAGGGCCTTCTGTTTATTCTCCTTCACTCCTTGTGGGGAACGATAAGGAGCCGGGTGGCACCATGTGATGGAAAATACCGAGATTTATAAAGATAGTGACACACTGAAATGATTGCTTCAAGCATCACATGTCTAAGCTGAGTGGTTTCACACAGTTTAGGCAGGTTTGCTTCATCATGTGGACAAATGTCTAAAGGACACTTTAGACATTACGCAGACGGACCAAAACCTGGTTTTGTGAAACTGAATCGAGATTCAGTGTTTGTAACCCTGCAGACTGACAGAAGCCTAATCAGGCCGACTGTACAGCTCTCCTCTATCGCAACACAGCGCATCACCAGAGGAGGGTTTTTCTGCTTCTGGTGTGAGTCAGGCTCGTCTGGGCCCTGTTGAGCCATGCCTCTGGGCAGCTCCAGGCTGGATGTGAGAGGAGGAGAGAAGATGTTTGTCGATGAGATAACGACCGAGCGGCCCGCTCGTTTACACCCCTTTCCGAGCACGAGAAGTCGGTTTGAGTCTAATGAGAGAAGGGAGCTCCAGAAATCGTCACACAGAACTGGTGTCGATTTGGCAACTGGGACGTTTAAGATATAAAACACGTGCTCTTTCTAGCCCAAGACTTTCTCCCCCCCACAATTTAAATATGCTTAACTTTAACAATCTGGGAATCCCAGCAGGAAATGCCCTCCGCCCACATCTCCCAGTCCCTTCAAACTATTTATTTTAAACTTCCCAATTTCACACAGTTGCACGTGATAATTCGGGCTCTGAAATGAGTTGCTATTTGATAGATTTTAAGCCTTCAAATTTTGAAAAAAAAGTCTCCTCACCAGCCCTTTTTTCCAGGATGCATTCTGGAGGAGCAGCTGCCCAGCAGACACACGCTTCGTGAGCGGAGCCCAGAGAGCTGGCGTGAAGTTTTTGGCAGCAGTGTGCGCAATAATGAAGCAACGCCAGGCAACGCCGCTGCTCCATCTCTTAGATGTGTCCCCAAAGGGCCACCATACCATGTCACAATGACACGCACTGATGAGTCTGAGCGTGCGCGCGCATGGCAGTGTCTGTACTTCATCTGTGCGTGTGGCCGGCGTGCGCACGCGTTCTTGTTTGCGATGCCGAGCGCGCCTCGTTCTTTGGTCGCGGGAGCTTACAGCCTCTGAGTGCAGAGGTTGTCTAATCCAGTGTTTTGAAATGAGCCCTCCAGCTGTTGTGGGCTTGAGAGACTCCAGCCTCGCAGGAGGCTTACAGATGATAAGATGCTCCTTCTATCTTCATTCCTCTAGGATTTCTCTGTCTTTCTCTCCTTTCTTCTTCATTTACTTTCAATCTGCCACTCCTGTTTTTTTTGTCTTGTTTCTTTTCTCTAACATAAATCCACCACTGTCAGTAGCCTTTGAGAGCAAACACATTCATTTAAGATTGTCACACTTTGTACAAACCCATCTGAACGCAGACTACTCCACCGACGGGAAGTGAACACTGTGCGTGCAAAGAATAGAGGAGGACAAGATTGGTGTGTTGACCTAAGACTTTGTTGTTATCTCATTCATCATAATGGTCTCTCGTCGGCGGTGCCATAAGAGGTAATAGGCGGCTGTTTAGCTGCAAAGGGACCCAAACAAAAGGGACAGGCTGCTTACAACGGTGTCATTATTCAAGCTATTAAGCTACAGAGGCAAAATGACGCTTTTGTAAAAGACACATATAGACATAGAGGGGAATATAATCCCTTTAAGTGAAAAAGCCTCCATAATTTATGGGAAGTCTTTTTTTCTTTCTGTGTATGTCTCTCGTGAACTATCGCTGTGCTGGAGCAGGATGACTGCGGCCCGTCTCCACAGCAGCGAGCCTGCAGGGCCCGATATGTCTGCCAGCCAAAGGAAAGCGTAGGAAGTCCAGCGGATATCGGACAGGCAGGCAGACAGGGACCAACGGGCGGTCTGTCAGCCTCTCCACCGATATTCAAAGCTGAAATTGATTTTGTTTTTCTTTTATACATGAAAGAACCCCAAATTCCTAGTAAGGGGGATTGGAAATACTGAGCCGAAATAACCAGGTGGATACCCAGTTGAAATCCTGACCACAAACCATTATATTCTGGTGGTTTCTACTATTGACTTCTGGCAGGATCATCATCCTACATTATCGGTAACGGCTACGATTCACAGGACATGATCAATTATCCATAATCATATCAGTGCATCATCCTCCTTGCGGTGTTTAGATAAGATTACTTCCCATTGGGGTTTTTGGACATGGATACATGCTTGCGGGGGTGATCTAACTTGATTTAGGTCCTAATGTCTTTAGCTGTTCTAGAAATAGATACAGGATGTACATATTTGTCTCCCTTGGTCTGTTATGGCTGACAGCTGAGTCCAGATGAGCAAAGCTGCCTCTGAGTGTCTTCACATGAGCCAGTAGACCCACTGTTGTTACTTAGGCAAAATAAGTTATCAACGTGGGAGCCGAGCTTCCACAGGAAGCAGCAAATAGTGTTAAAAAAAAGACCCCAACGCTGTCCCCGCTTGTCATGTTCATTTACTTTGTATTGATATCCGCTGTGATCCCGTATGAAAAAGTTGTTTTAGGAGATGAATGAAATGAATAACTCAGGAGACAGCCCATGTTTCCCCATTTAAGTGCTGCATATTTCATGCGATCCTCCTCGCATGGTTTAGATGTCTGTTTAGTCTCTAAGAGCATTTCAGAAAATGTTTGGTTTGCGAAATAGATTAAAAGGCAGAAAAAAAAGACAAGGCAAAATAAAAGGAGAAAAAAAGGAAGGCTGTACGGAGAGTTGAAACGTTACTTTTTCGCTTTTTGAAATATGGGTGTAAATATGTTTACTTGTTAACAACCCAACAAGATTATTCTCTGACTCTACTGTGGCTCCACTTGCCCACTTCTTTGGATGTACATGCACGAACTGGAGACTTTAATTTTACTGTATTCTTCAAAACGATGATCATGAAGCCTAATGGAAGGCTATGGAAAAACATTCCATTCTGAAGTTAGCAGGGAATGGCTCATTGTTGTGCAAACTGGGTCCTGCAAGCCATTATTTGTAATACAGCCTGATAATAATGCTTTACACTGCGTTCTCTGATAAGCATAGCCGTGTTTGAGATGGATTCCACAGGAAACAAAAAACAAAAATCACTCAACTAACTTCCCATTTTGCACAGGGCAGCCATGTTTGGTTTTAAGATCGGAGCTGGGCGAGGTCGGGAAAAAAAACCCAAATCGAGGTGGCAATTAAGCCAGGATGGCTAATCATGGTCTCTCTCTGTCTGCAGTGTGCGTGCGGGCGCTGGATGTGATGGTGTCCCAGAGCAGCATCCAGGTGGCCCGGGGCCAAGCAGCCGTCCTGCCCTGCTCCTTCACCACCAGCGCTGCCCTCAACAACCTCAACATCATCTGGATGGTAATCCCGCTGTCCAATGCCAACCAGCCTGAACAGGTTGGTACCTCCTCCATCCGTTTGCACACTATGGGAAAAAAAAAGCTGCTATGGAAACTCCAGAAAAAGACGTATCCTCCCTCTCACGTGGATGTTTAAATGTAATTATGTCAGACAACGTTCTCCTGAAATGCACCTAACCACTCTCTCGATGTCGTTGCGTACGCATGACGTGGACGACCAAACTGCACCTCCTGCAATGTTACAGTCAAAGCAGGTACTGGGATGTGTTCAGATGTATGGGGGAAGGTGTCAGATACAGCGCAAAGAGAATGCCCGACGTTTTATAAACGAACAGAAAGGTCCAAGAACGACGCAGAGCCGCAGCCGCAACGGCTCAAATTTCAAAGCTCATTCAAAGCTCATTTTCTTAAAGTCTACGTGTTTCAAAATTAGACATTTGCAAGAATGCAAGACACAATCGGAGACCATTGCAGGGACCTCCAGGACAACTCCGGAGCGTGACGTTGATAGAAACATGGCTGTATTCAAAGCAGGCCTCCTTTCAGTGTTAATGTCGGCCTTGTTTGGACATGTCATCAGAAGCAGGGCAGACGTGACTATTAGATGACTCTGAGTGGTAAAAAGGTGGCCGTCTCAGAGACCACAGACTCAAAAACACATGAAAAGATGCCCTGCAGTAGATTCAGACAGATTACAAAGTTCGATATCTTCACACCTAACAAAAAGAGCGGAGAGGGGAACCAAAGCCTCCGCGCCGCAGTCCTGATTCGGAAGCATGAATTAGTTGAAAATATGGATGAATAAGATTTGAAATCCATTTAAATCCTGCTGTGAAACACAACCGGACTTTCAGCCTACCTGTTTTTCCAACCTACCATGTTTATCGAGTTTTAAAAAATAGATATGAGTAAATAGAAGGCGACCCAATTTATGGCCAGATGTTGTCGTCCCAAAATTTAACTGATGATCCGACCAACTCTTTTTGAATTAAGATGACATTCGGTTTGACTTCAGATGACGTTAGATGTCTTAGAAAGGCAGTTGTTGACTGTTTTTGCCACTCAGGGGGTCTGTGAGGAGGGGCCGAGGCTTTGGTTGACTTTTGGAGCCTGTCCCGTCATGCTACCACATTGTTCAGTCCTGCTTACGACTTTGGAAAGTAGAACTGCACTTGCTGGTAGTATGTAGTTGGCAACTTTGAATACAGTCCATATCTCAAGGTGCAGTTCTGCACAGCCGAAACAACAAAAAAATAAAATTTCTCTTTTCGGTGCATCTGACAGCACCTTTAGTATAGAGTGAGGTGTAGAGTTTCTCATAGAGGAATGTAGATGACCTTTTAGAATTCTCTATCTTTGCACGGATAAACCAAAACCTGAAATGAAAACAATAACCACGATTAACCTCCTGAGCTGCGGAGGAATCCAGAAACTTTCCAAACAACTAAAGAGCTGTTTGTTTATACTTGCGAGTTTATGTTAAGAAGAACATAGAACACAACTTGTTTACTTTCTTGTGATAATATCACTCTCTTCATAACTTCGGATTAAAAATGGCATAATGGAAAAAGGAATTCTGAGGTATTCCTAAGACACAGGAGGACATCCTTTATTACGTTAACTTTCCTCAGAACTGGATAAAAAATCTAAAGTAACTTCTTTCTTTGGAATGGATTAGTCTTGATTTTAATCCAAGCTAAAGTTGACAGACAGAGCTAAAGTGACCACCTCCTCAGAGGTCGTGATCTAATGATGTGCGCACAAAACTCCAAGCCGTGTTCGTTTCATCCGTTGTTTCCATTTGATCTTGCCACATACCGCCTCTTAAAAGTCGTAAAGTTGGATAAAATGCCACATGAAGTCGCTTTGAAAAAAGCATCGGATATGTATCCTATTCAGTACTACTTATGACCCTGGTTCTGATTTTTTGGTAAAAATCTGCTTTCCACTGTTTAGACCTGGCCACTGGAGTTATGAGAGCAGCTTTGTCACTTTTCTCCTTTTGAAACCGTACGTAAAAAAATACATTTGACACTGTATCCTACTTGCCCAGACCATCATTTGTCCCTTTATTATTAGAAACTGCTCAGTCCGACTCAGCCCGACACGTTTTTGATGCCATCACCCAGGCATCGGTTACGGTTTTAGCATCCACTTGGTGCATACAAACGTCACTATCCATGTCGTTTGACATTTGAGCAGCCTGCTGTAACGACCCCTCACCCATCAATGAGGTATTCACTTCTATGCGACCAGAAGCGAACTGAGTTGAGTCGAGTTGAGCAGATCTGAGTGGGCACTTGTGGAAAATGGCCCTAAGAGCTTTAACAAGGAACATTTGTCCAAAGAAAAACAAAAAACGTTACATAATCTAGCCTACTGTATGTCCTGCTGCTCATTTCGCCTCTCTTCCCTTTCCTCTCATTTTCTTATTAGTCTCACCTTCCCCACCTCCCTCCCTCAGATTTCCTCCCCCTCGCGGGCCTTCTGCGATTCTGTTCGAGTTGTTTAACATGCAGCTGCAGGCCGTACAAGCTCACCTGCCTCCCTTCACTTTCAACCCTAGCGCTGGTCGGCCGTCCAAATAACACAATCATCTTCTGCACTAATTAACTCACGCCCACGACAGGCTCTGCATCGCAGCTGTTCTCACCACACACACACACACACACTCTCAGAAACGCTGGCATGCACACACGCAACCACACGCACTGGCCCTGGACAGGCCGCTGGTCCAGAAACGGCTCCGATTGCCGTGCACAGGCAACGGGGATCGCACACTGTACCTGTACTGACTTCAAACGTGCATGCAGAGTGCACGGTGAGCAAACACGCAAACGCCCGCAAATTATTAGGGAAATTCTCTCATGTGCACACCTGTGGATAAAGGCCCTTTCACACATTTTCTTCCATTTTCTTTCAGTTTTGTTTTACACTCCGCATAGTCCCTATGTTTACAGATTTCTATGCTGCATAACATGGAAACAACTTTTATTTTATTTTATGTTGTTTTTTCTATTGAAAAAGCAATAAAAAGATTGCTGATTACAAGGCTTACACCCACACAAATACTAAAAACAGGTGAAAACCTGTTATAACCTACATATAAGTGGACTATAAGTGGACCTAAAGATGTGAAGTGATGATGGGAATAAGCAGCAGGCTGCATGAGGTCCACATCGCTCTCATGCCCCTCCTTTGCCACAACACTGAATGGCAGATACATACACACTTAAGGGTGCTTCCGCTACACCCACGCAAGTGTTTAGGTAAACACTAACCTACGGCACTTGTTTTTGTGCGCGATCACCCTGAGAAGAGCACGCCGCGATCACGCACAGAGCCAGCGCAAGGTCATTCAAACGGGAGCGGGTGTCACGAATGATTAGAGTTGATGCTAAAAGCCATTAACAATTACTGAACACGACCCACGTTAGCACTTTAGTGAGCGCGCTCAGGCCCTTAAGATCACTCCATGCCCAAATCTGAGTGCCACTTTCAGACGGGTCTGTCGTAAATGACACATTCTCGCAGTAGGAGTGGAAGGCAGAGGGAGGGGGGGGGTTGTCAGCCCCGCCGTGGCAGGAACATGTTTGTTTATTCTTCATCCAAATTAATCCTGTTAAGTTTCCCCAGTTCTTTTATTGCCGCGTTCTATCAGGCCTCACCTTATGTTTGGAAGCCTTAAGCGTACATGGTCGACTCCACACTGCAGTGCGCGGGGCTTAATGAGTCAGGTCTAAATGTGACGGCCTGGTGCTTTCGCTCCACGCTCAGATGATGATCCCCGAAGTAATTAGTGCAAAGGAAAGATGGGAGGACGCGCACCACAAACAGTAATACAAAGAACTTTCTGCCGCACTATGAGCAACGCTAATGCCAACATTAGAGTACACCGTTGGCATTTAATTGCATGAGTAAACTAAATATCACCTGAAATATGTGATGATGACTTAGGTTTCCTGTTCGTATCTCCGAAGAAGTGGCTTTTGTGTCTACTTTATGTCACGTTTATGTCATTTGGTTTATCTTTACTGCATTGCGGTGTTATTTTGAGCCTGTTAGTGCTCAGTTATGTTTTTTTTATGTAATTCTACTTATACTGTGACCATGTCACAGTATTGTTTGCGAGGCTATGTCTATGTCTAGGCTAGGTTTGTGTCCCAGAGACCAGGATTGTACCTTTTGTATTATTGGTGTGCCTCTCCTTGTCATGCATTATTATGCATCTCCTTGTTGCGATTTTGTTTTTTCATCTCTTCATTGCCTTGTTTGTACTTTTAAAATCATTTCCATTCCAGAGTATCTAGTATTTTTTAGATCAGATCAACCACCCTCATATAAAACCAAATACGCAGTACCATTGAATCAAATATAAACTGTACTTGGCTATGTTAAATCATTCAAGACTTTTCATTTTGTTGATTGAAGCCCTTTTTTCCCCTTCGCTGTTCAACTGGCAGCCACAGTCAGAGATTACATCCGTGTGCACCTGCTTGTTTGGGGTGTGTGTGGACGTTCACGGGTTGTTTTCCGTGTTCATAATCTGTCCATCATGGTGTAGTTGTGATCTGATGCCCCGCTGCTTTCCTCTGGGCCTTTAGGTGTGAGATAATCCAGATAAACACTTGCATAGATCCACATATATCCAAACAGGGGCTTTATCTTTTATAGCTCTTAAAAGTGCTCGTTGTATGTTTGCTTATACTCTTATAATTTCATCCCTTTCCCACCACTGTTTAAAACCTACAATAAAGCCTTTTTTAATTTTAGTAAAGTACCTTCTTCATTTGTCTATAACAGCCACATGCTGACATAAACACCAGACAGAAAACACTGAATTTGAGGTTGTTTTGAAGGGAAGCTGAAAGAGAATTTTCATCACCACAGAAGAGGTACTTTTGCAATGTTATTTTTATTTCAACAGTTTTCAAGGACAAATAAACAAAATTCACCAATGGGAGTGATCATATAAAATGGACCTCTGGTGTAAATGAGGTCATGGAGAATCCAGGGGGCTGAAATCATGTTAATCTGTAATTGACAGCATCTGTCACTGCATTACAGACGATCAGATTGATCCCGACAATCCGTCCGAGGATGGCCAGGACAGATAATGTGTTCTCTTGACCTCAAAATACGAGGAAATTTGTTTTTCAGAGGTGAAACGTGGTACATTTCTTTTAACTGAAACTGTAACTTCCAGGATGTCCCCATTTTTTAAGGAGTAAAAAGACATACTCCTTTATGTCCAATAATCTGATTCACCAGCACAGATGAGTTGCTGGGCTATAGGAGGGATGTAAATGTGTGTTGCAAACGAAAGCTCGTCATGATTTTGGCTCACAGGGTATTAAGTGTATGTTTGACCACGAGTCCAACCGTGACAATCCTTCTTATCAAGTCTGGACTCTGGAAACCCTCGGCCACAAGGTCTAGATGACTTTTCTAAACTACTCTCTGCAAATCCAGATGACTTTTTTTCTCTTGGTGACATGGCAGAAGATATGACTTCATCATTGCATATGGCTTTGGCAGCAAACTTGGAGGAGTGTAAAGAGTGACCCTCTCACCTCAGCCCCGAAACAATCAGGCTGACCACTTCCCCTTCATTGCCCCCTAATTCACACGGGAATTCTCCACCAGCTACTCAAAGGTGTCATGTATGATACTGTAGCAATAGAACCTCTCAACTGGCCTATATTACCTTCTCCGGAATGGTGTTTGATCAACGCTATTGCCCAAAGAAGCATTTTGATTATCTTTACAGACCTGTTGTTGGTAGGGTACCATTGGTAGGGGCAATTTCTGTTGCAATTCTTATGTTTTTTATTTACAGCTAATCTGTTTTGCCGTTTTATTCAGCCTTCTCTACCATCAGCTACATGGCTTTGCTTAATTTTCGCCATGCTTTTTAGAAGAAAGAAGGACATAACCATATAAATGAAACACATTTTCTTTGGTTTGGTGACCCTAATTGCTCTTTTAACTCAACCCGACAGTTCTCATTTTTAGAGTAACAATACATTAAGTACCAAGTGTCCCCCACTGAGAATGTGACTTGTTAAAGGCTCTGGAATAATCACAACTGCTTTGTGTAGATTAAAGAACACTGTTGCTTGATTTGTTTCCATCTTTATGGATTATGTAAACTGTTTTTGTGGCATCACAAATGTCAGTGCAGGGCGGGAATTCTGCAGTAAAACAAAGAGATGTTGTAGGAAATGAAAGACCCTAAATAAGTATATCAGTGCATTGTGCTTTGCATGATCTCGATGTGGTCTTTAGGTTTAATGTTGACTAGAAGTATTGATGTGACCAAAGAGTTAGATTTTCATGGAATCTTAAAAACAATTTCAGCATGTATATATAGTGATTTGTGGTATCGAGTCATGTATAAACAGTCGGATGGGGATAGATATTCATAATAGCTGTCCATATTGTTTAGGGCATGTCTCAGAGGATTGAAAGAGATAACACTGGCAGGTTCCAGTCAGAAAATTGAAAGGGAGGGTGGGGTTAGAGATTTATTCAAGCTTTACAGTGGCGATGGCACTATCCCTCATGTCTGCTGCCAAAGGGGCCTTTACGGGGTCAGCTGGAAGTGGGATAGGATCATGCAACTGGTCCAGTGATGGAGAGTATCTGAAGGGTTTTTGCATGAGCGACCAGCTCTGGATTGCAGGGCTACAGAAAAGACGCGGAAGTAGGGCAACGTGCGCAGATGCTTATTCTGTATCCGTGTGTAGGATTGTAGGAGAGAACGGATGAAACAGGGGTTTACTGCTGGGCCAACAGCAGGGGGGGCGTCCAGCTCGTCCAGCTAGAGTTCTTAGGGCCCTCTGCCATCTGAGCCCCAGCCATGGCCTCTTTTCCATTTGTGCACGGTCACAAAGCCAACCAGGTCACGCAGGCAGATGAGGTTGTTTAAACGTACAGTACACTTAGATACGGCTGGATCCACAAAGAAACACTAAAAGCACTAAAATTGTTGGTGGTGGGGGTGTGGGGGGGTGGTGGATACAACATATCCACAGCTCAGTCCTCAGCTCATTCACATGCACACACGGAATGCTGCGCGTAAGGCCGCCTGATTGGATCACTTGCGGCATACATGGAGATTACACCCTCAGGTCGGCGGGAGCCAGAGCCAGGTCACAACAGGTGCCGTCTGTTCGGGAGGAGGGAAAAAAAAAAGAAATAGACGGCGGCTGGCAGAGACCTCGGCAAAGATCTGAGAAGAAAAGAGAGGACAGAAAATCAAAGGGACGGCACGCAATTATTAGACGAAGTAGCAGTTACTTTGGCAGACTGCTTACACGCGCACACACACACACACGTACGCACATAGAATTTCGGGGCATGCAACTCAAAAATTGATATACTGCTTGTTAGTAAATGGATTTAGACTCGGACGCGCGCACACAGACACACACACACACACACACACACACACTCACAGATACGGGAGATGCAGTCGCAGACTCCCATCACAGCTGAGGAGCTGCCTATTCATCTGCACATAAGAGGACAAAGCGAGCGTACTGCACTCAGGAAATTGCAGCCACGCAATTTACAATCGTTAGGCAGCGGTAGAGGACGCACAAGCACGCACACGCACACACACGGACACACACACACGCTCTCCCACACTTTTATTAGAACTGTAAGTCCAATGGTAACACACACAGATTAAGAAGCGCACTGAAACACACTGGTGCCGGTTGTTCGGGTCTTTGAACAGTTCAATGAGGAAAGGGCCTATTCAGCAAAGTGAATAGCCCCTCTGATTCCCATCCGCGCCCAGCGTTTGCGTATGTACGCCTCGCCGTGCGTGAACCGTTGCAGTTGTGCGCACCTCACATGTGTTTGCGTGGGCCCTTCATCTTTTGTGTGGGCCCAGCTGAGGGGTGAGAGCTGCTTTGCATGTGGCTCGGCCTCACAGACGAGCTGTTCAGCCACAGTTTGAGGGCCGGGGGGGAAGTTTTTTCCTTTTCTTCTACTTTTAAAACAAGCCGATCCTTCATTTCTCTTTAATTTGAAGCAAAAACGAGATTACTTCAACCTGCAGGCGCCGTTTTATTTGCTCAAGTGTGGTGTTGCTGTGATTATTCTCAAAGGTCACTAACGGAATTGTATAGGATGATCCACCCCCCCCCCATAAGAATTAGCTCCCCTGTTGCCTACTTTCATGCTCTTGAATTCATCAGATTTGGAGTTTATATGTTTCCAAGTGAAAATGCTTTCAATTATGCATTCCATTGGGAGGATGCTTTTATCCGAAGAGCCTACAGGACCGTGAAAGCAGACTCTCAGAGTGTACTTTTACCCCTGAAATCAATCCACCAAGTTTGAAAAAAATAAACACTCTGCAATAAAAAGCTTTTTTTTTGTTTTTGTTTGTTTGTGTGTTTGTTTTTACTCAAGAAATAAAAAGTCAGTCTATTTTCAGCCTCGCTGTAGAAATAGAAATAGAAATAGAAATAGGTCTTCCGCTAGTGAAAGAGATGTGCAACAAACCAGAACAAGAAAAGCCCAAAGAACTAGACGCCGCGTGTCATTATTTTTTCCCCATTCACTTTTCTTGTTTTTCTCCGCTCTTTGACCTCTCCGCCCAGGTGATAATGTACCAGGGCGGCCAGGTGTCCAGCTACGCCAACCACCTCAACGGTCGTGTGGGCTTCGCCGCCACCATGCCAAGCACAAGTGCCTCCATCTTCATCAACAACACCCAGCTGTCTGACACTGGGACGTACCAGTGCCTGGTAAACAACCTCCCGGACCGAGGGGGGCGGAACATCGGCGTCATCGGGCTGACGGTGTTGGGTAACTGACCGCGCACCACCACCACCGTAGCATATTTCCTACAGTTTGGCGTCAGAGTTTTTTTAGGGCAGTTGTGACAAAACATTTCCAGAGCGGCTAATTCTTCCATGTGTTTCAACGTGAGATGAGCCAAACGTTTGCTTCAGCTCTTTGAATTGGTTAACGCGACACCGCCCACTCTTCCCATCTGCCAGTGCCCCCCTCGGTGCCAGCATGTCGAATCCAGGGCACGCTGGATGTGGGCAGCGACATCATGCTGTTCTGCAGCTCTGAGGAAGGTATTCCCACGCCCTCCTACTCCTGGGAGAAGCTCGACGCGCTGCCCAAGCTGCCGCACAACGCCATGCAAGGTATAACAAACAAGTTGGCCGTGGGAGTCCCCTTTTGCCCCACCTTCGCCGGTAAATCTCACACACATAGCAGAACTCAGGCCCCCCAGTCCCTCCATCACCGCCATCTTCCTTGTGCCAGACACAACCTGCCGCCTACCCGACGGTTCCCTCCCACTGATCCTGCCGAGGGCTGATAAGTGGACGAGTTTGTGTGCGTGTACGTGTGTGTTATCCTCCTGTAAAAGGAAACCGATAAATACAGAGCTCTTGTGAAGTTCCTTCCTCCTGACGCTGAACACCAAAAGCTGCGGACTCCATGCAAACACTGGACGCTGCATTTGGTTCTCAGTATCGTAGAGCCCCGCTCTAGTCGACTCTCCTTTTGGTTTTCCAGCTGTGCCATCTGCACAGTAGAACAATCTTCACCACCAGTCTGTACACTACCGGTCTGCCGAAGCCCTCTGTGCTGGGCTCCCACCCGCCGCAGACACCAGAGCAGAGCCGATCTCCCGCTTCGCTCTTTTCAGAGAAGTAGATCTCAGCTCTCTCAAATGCAAATGCGGAATGCAGCACGTTCAATTAGAATTTCTAATTGGGCCGCAAAGGTGGACCTTAGTTTGATATATACATGTCGATTATTAGCATTTGTTAGATGCTGATTTGCATGTTTGGCAGTCGGCCCTTTGAAGTGATAGCGTTTAAAGAACTTCAAAGACTCTAAACTCTATTGCTCCAAAACTGAAGTGTCATTGACAGAAAAGGAGCAGAAAATACAACGAAAACGAACACATTGTATTTGCATGCAAGTCATGTATCTTTTTATTTTTGTTTACTGCATGGACAGTATCAATTAGCAGTCTCAGATGAACAACAGCACATTGAATTTTCCACAATGGGATTTTTTTTTATTTCACAAAAACTGAGCCAAAAAAACAATCCTTGATTTAGTAACTTGCAGAGGCTGCTCTTTTTTTCTGCGTGTGTTATCTACTTTTCTTTTCTGTACTTAGACTGATCTCTCGTTTGAATCTAGAACACTTTGGTATTCAGAGGAGTTGGCGGATGACTCGTTTACTCCAAACTATCCAGGTCTTGCACCTGCTAAATTCCCCAAAATCACCAGCCTTCCACCACCGTGCTTTACAGTTGATAGGAAGTGCTGGGTTTTACACCAGATGCGGAGCGTCTTGATTTCATCTTGACTTTGGTCTCACCTGTCCAAATTATCCAAGCTTCACTGACAGCCGTAACAGCTAATTGAAGCCTACAGTGAGATATAGTTTGTGGTTTTTTTTTGTTTGCTTGTTTTGTCCCAGTTTTTGTTAAAAAATATACTCTCAGTGTGTTTATTCCATCTACTTACCTCATTTGAAGACTTAGTGATGACCATAGAACTTTTAACAAGTCCTATGTAATAAAAAGGCTTTTTTGTGTTCTATTTTATACTTTTATATATATCGCAAGGCAACTATTTATTTTCTTTTCCTTTTGCTGCTGTTTGAATTCTGCATTTGCTGCTGTCCGGCCCAACGCGGATAGTAATGGCATCTGTCATGTTGTTGCCGAGAGTGGCGACGAGGTTCTGGCTGACTTCTTAAGCAGCTGAAAAATGAGGGAACGGGAGGCCCATTTAAACAGTTCCAGTAGTGTACAGCTCTGTGATTCTAATCTCACAAGTCAACCCATTCATCATTGGTTCTTAGGAACCTGCACCCTCTCACACATGTATTGCGCAGCACACGTTCACAGCATATTTTCAGCAAGCATATAGCACCATCTGCTGGTGGTGTCTTCTTTATTTTGTGGCGTTGTCACTTATTTCAGTATATGGCTGTTTGTGTGTGTGCGTGTGTGTGCTTGTGTCCTCCAGACCAAATGCAGGGCACGGTCGCCTTGAAAAATATCAGCACCAGTACCTCAGGGCTCTACCAGTGCACCTCCAGCAACGCCATCGGGAAGAGCACGTGCGTGCTCAACGTGCAGGTCGTGGCACGTAAGTAAACTCACAAACAGGCGGAAGCAGAAAAATAAAAAAAAGACGCCACCAAACAGAACATCTCGCACGCAGCAGTGCTCCTCACATCTGACACCAGCAGAGGAAAAGGCAGTGGGGTCGGCTGAGGTCATGCCGGGTCGGACGGTTTGGACAGCTTGACAGGAAGGGATGTAACATGGATTTTGTTCTAGATTTTGACATGTGGCAGGCCACCACTCGATGAGTGCCGAGTCCGCCTGTCAAACCCCTCCAGCAGGCCTCGGTTTTTTTAAAAATGGAGGGCGCAGCCATGGTACAGACAGGGCCTTTTTGCGACTGACGTCTCCTCGTAAAGAGGAGAGGTTTCGAGCGCAACGTTAACGTGTTTAAGTTAATGTAGTCGTAGTTGAAATGACAGGGGCAACTTTTTACAGTTTGAAGCTCAGCTCGGCATCAATGGAAAGACAAACACAGGGCGTACGTGTGCAGACTTTCTCTGAGGAAGCTGCCGCTAAAAGTTAAAGGAGAGGACGTCACATGCGTTTTTTCAGACCCCAACAGAGACAGAGACGGCTGTCTCAGAGAAATTCGTAGTCCAACTTAGGTTGAAAGATACAGCAGAATGCCATCTTCTCATGTCCTGACTGGCTTCCTCAGTTTTATCCCTCAGAGGGTAAAATTTCCTCATCATTGCTATTGTGTTCATGATAGATAAAACCTGTGAACAGACACCATCAAAGTTTTTTTTTCTAGCAGACGGTTGTCAGATTTAAAGCTAAAAATTATTTGACGAAAATCCTGCATTCCTCATGTTTTTTTCTTTCTCTTTTTATTTATTTAATGGTGCCCATTCGTCTCTCCTCGCTTTCAGATCATCTTGGATAATTTAGACTGTTTTCAGGTTTTGTGATCGCCCGTGTCAAAGTCTCACATTCTGATCCTCTGCCCCGCAGCCCAGCCTCAGAGTGTCGGTCTGATAGCAGGAACCATCGCTACGGGGGTCCTGGCTGTGGTTATCTGCTCCCTGTTGGTCGTGGTCACACTCTTCTACTGGAAGAACAAAAACAAATACGACGAGGAGGAGATCCCTAATGAGATCAGGTTCGCATTTGGACGACTTTCCCACCCAAATAATGACACTGTGAAGTCCACAACACAATTTAAGCTCCTCAACTATATACTGCAAACATCTGTTTGTTCGAAAGACATCAAGGATTCCTAGAGTACTTGCGTCCATTTTCAAAAATGTATGTGATTTATATCCTGCAAGTGTTTTTTTTCATGCAAACTTATGTTTGACATTGAACATCCACAATTTAGTGGATATGCAGCTGTTTAATAGGGATTGACAACAGTTCATTTTTGTTATTTGAAACAGCCTGCAGATAGCCTAGGTGTTCTCCTGACTGTCCTTTAACATGAAAACAAAAAGCAGTATCTTTTTGCTTCCTGTTGTAAAACACAAAGCTGTAATGCACTTTATATTCTCCCTATAAAAGCCTCCACTTAGAACACCTCTGCCAGCAAATTAGATTTAGAGTTTGGAGGACTCGGCTTAATTGAATCTCCCGGCAGCGACTTATTTCACCATCACAGGCCAATTTGTCTTTTTGAAGTCTGTTAACCTCAACCAACTGTTTACATGGACTGCAATTCAGCCTTGTGAATATTCCAAGATTCATTTTGAAGATAAATTTGATTTCAGGTACATAAAGCTTTGGCGTGCAGGGAGCACATCTGCCTCATTTTGGGTTCAACTCCTATTTTTCCATTCACAGTCTTTGCCCAACAGTGTAGTGAAGGCATTGGAAACATTTTCAATGAACTGTTTGATTTTTTTTTTAAAAGATAGCAATACAGATGGGCTCATGTGCACACTTATATGTTCAAACACTAACTTTCCTCTTTGTTGTGCCAAATATTGGAGTTTTCCTGGTAGCAGGTGGACTAATCTGACTGTAAAACACTTTTACCACTATATTTCAGACAGTTGTACATGGATATAGTTCTGTTTGTGAATAATTCAGTTTTAGGCCACAGGAGACTAGTTTTCTTTTCTTTTTAATGGTACTCCAGAGCTAATGTGACACGAGCATTGGGTCGTGCTGTGCTGCCCTTGATTGTTATTTATGCTCTAGAATACCTATACACTTATTCAGTCCAGATATTATATATAATTATATATATATATATTTATATATTTATATATTGTTTTACAATATCATAAACCTTAGATGTTGAAGTTCTTTGCACGTTTGCATTACAAATTATTTTGTAGAATGTTCCTTTTATACCCAATTTTGATACCCCCACCAATCACCATTTAACTCACTTGATTGTTGTAGAATCTTCCAAAACAAAGTTGTTTTCTTACTTCGGAAAGGTTTCTCCCCTTTTTGCCCTTTACCAATTAAAAAAGGCAGCCATGCCGTCTGATGAGTTCCAAACTGATTTTAATACATGTGAACGCCTGAAATGGGAAAACTGAATTTGAGTAGGGAGAACGAATTAAGTGGACGTGATTCAAAACACAGTGTCAAATAATGGCTAGGATTTCTTAAAAAAACAAACAAACTCTGGTATCATTGTGTGAGTGAAGGGGCTGAAGTCTCTGTGTCATGTCTCCTCCACAGAGAAGATGATCTGCCTCCCAAGCGGTCGTCGTCGGTGAAGGCTTTCCACGCCGACGCCTCGTCCTCCGAGAACGACACGCTGACCTCCACCAACACCTACAACAGCCGCTACTGGCACAACCCCAAAATCAACTACGACACCAACTCCTACACGCGCTACAACGGCGACACCCGGCAGACCTTTTCGGCCGCCACCGCCGCTCACGGCGGCCACGGGGGCCACGGGGGTCACGGGCACGGACAGTCCCAGAACGCCGCGCACGGCCAGCCCGCGGCGGTCACGGCGCCGGGCTCCACCCCCCTCCCCCGCCACCCGCCGCCCGTCACGGCGACGACGACGATATCCTTCGCCAACGGCAGCCACACGCTCCCGCCCCCCAAGACTCTGGTGGTCACCACGAACTCCGCCCCCTCCCCGCCGGCCATGGTGCGCAGCAACGGCTCGGTGGGCCTCAAGCCTCAAGCGGTGACGTCCACGCACGGTCAGCACACGCACTCCTACGCCGTGAGCCAGGCCACGCTGGAGCGGATGGGGGCGGTGCCCGTCATGGTGCCCGCCCAGAGCAGAGCCGGCTCGCTCGTCTGAGACCCAATCCCGGGTACCGTTGGCTCTGGACAACGAGACTACCCCAGGGTCCGGTCGCTTAATGAAAAACAAACACGATACGGGCTGAAGCAGCCCCCCGCTGCCCTTTACGGTTGTGTCTTTCTGTGCGTCTCGACCTTTTTATCTCTCACCCAACTGGGATTTTACAGCGCAGAGTTCATTTGATGCCAATTCCTTCACGGACAGGACGCTGCATTTTTAAAGAGAAGCGCATCGTGGAAACCCCTTTATTTAATGGATTTTCCTCCGGGGCAGGGCAAGTGGGACCGATTTCACACAGCTGAGGCAAAACATCCTGCAAAAAACCTGGAATCCCAGACGCTGTTTCAGGGCCGGATCATTGCGACGATTGTGTTTCTTTCTTTCTTTTTTTTTGGACTCAACGCAGGCATTGTCATCTCTGCATGGTTAGCCAAAACATTCACTTTAATGCATGTCCCTTGATTTAGGATAACAAATGAGGTCGGTTTTATTTTGAGTCTTTTCTTTTTTTCATATTTTTGATTGACAGCAATGATATAAATGTCAAGGCTTATAAAACAGAATGTTGAAATGTATGCTTGGAGGAACCAAAAGCATTAAAGTATAAGAGTGGTGAGATGGTTGAAAAGGCCTTAGAAGGTAAGAGAGAGTAGGGGTGGGTGGGATACAAAGAGTAATAGTTTTCACTGAATGCAAACTTTATTGATGTGTTTTTGCACTTTTCAGAGCTAACTGTTGAAAAAACGGCTGTCTTATGAGCGAGAGTCTTACTTACAATATGTTTTTCTACAACCCAAATTCAATATGGGAGGCTGGAACATGTGATAATGAATGCAATGATTAAGAAATCTCATAAACCAACATTTCATTCACAAATGGGTATCGATAAAATGACCAATGGGAGTGATTTTTGTGTTTCCATATAACTATGAGCTCCTCTTCTTTACGATGGCAGCAGCAAGTCTTCAAGAATGAATTTTTTTTCAAAGAATCTATGGAATTTGGACCTTGTGCCTTCTTTGGAGTTAAGCAATAGCACTGTGGTGACACTGCACTAAAAACAGGCAAAATTCTGTAATGGAAATCACTTTTAGAAGTCATTGATTGGGTTACGATGATATTTTAGGAAAACAAACAATAGGAAAATGTATTTCTGTGATGATCCCACCAAAAGTTGGCAAATAAATTAAGCTTCTAAAAGTTGTCCCACACATCCCTTTCCACGCAAACGCATTAGTTAGAATCAAAGCTTGAGTGTCTTATTTTAATACAACCAAATTTGCAATTAGCCTGTTTTCATTCATCCCGTTGGCTGAAATGTGGCTGAAAGTCAGTGGTGCTCCGTTTCATGATAATTCTTCAGGTAACTCATGGACAATGTGATGCGATGACCTACTACAAATGAAGTTAGAAGCTCCTTGGGCCAACGGTGGCACAGACTTGGCTCATAGCCCTGATTCTCCTTCTTTGGACATGTTAGAGGGGCAGTGGTCCATATACGGCACCGCAGAGACAAGCTGGAACCATAAACTTCCTTTGAACACAGGTCACAAACAAATGCAGGTTAGAGTCCTATCAGAGAAACAGCCAGATGTGAGTTTAAGCAAGATGTGAGTTTGAGCAAGAAAAAAAAAACCCTAATGGTTTCGTTTACAGTTGCCCGAAGCAAAGTGGAGAGCTGTCGTCCTATAAATTGAAATTATTTAGAAAAAAACTTTGTGTCCCATGACTAAAGAGGTGGGATTTATTAGTTCTCACTTCAACAGCTTGTGACTCTGATTGTATAGGGGGTCATTAGTGCCCAGGGAACACATCTGGAAAGGCACCATCTGTGGAAAAACAGTCTGTGAATCAAGCTACGCTCCCATCCAGGTGACTCCTATTTTCAGGAAACGCCTTGCATATTTCAGCAAAATGGTGCTAAACTACAGTCCGCCTCGGTTTGCTTTGCGGATGCCCCATAGATGAGGAGTCAGTAAAATGAACTGAAGCCCATCAACTGAAAACACAGAGAAGCCAGCAAAAGAAAAACCCATTGCTTTCCCAAAGGTCCAGCAACTAGTCTAGGCCCCGTTTTGTTGCTGCCATCAAACGATTGACCTTCTCCCTGAAACCGTAAAGTGTCTCACTTTATCACGCCAAGTTGTGAGTGACATATTAGTTTGTGAGATTCGCATTTCATTTCTTTCTGTTTATATCCAGCGTTTTTACATGGTGTCCCAGCTTTTGGGGAGTGGGAGTTACACACATCCATAAAGAACGGAACAAGAAACAAAAAATAGACACTGGTGTTGTTTCAAGATAGAGGAAATAAATGGATTTCTAACTGATAACTACTATCTAGATCTAGATGCTGATGTGCATCCTTCCTGATGGTTCAGTCCGGCTCATGTCACATTAGTGCTGCTTTGACAGAAAAAGAGGATTTTGCATTCAATACATGCTTTTTAAACAGAAGAGAGAATTCTATATTTTTCCCCTTAACAAAAGGATAACTGCTACTGTTTTCTTCTGTACATATTGCCACGCTGAGCTGGATTGTGAATCAGAGATTTTCACGTCTGAGCAACATTTTGCAACTACTGTGTCTTAATTTGAAAACAGTTCTTTGCGTCACACTGGACCACAAGCTGGGTTCCATGGAGTAATCCTCATTTTCGTCGAGTATTGTCATTATTTCTTTACAGTGTTGCTTTACACTAACGGCCATATGTTTAACTACCAGTAACTCACATCCACGCTGTGTGTGATACGACTTTTTTCTGACCTACTGTGTTCATACTTTAACCAAAAGTCGCCGTCGGCATAAAGAGCCAAACTGTCGGCGTCCCTAAACTGAGAAATTCGTATTTCTTTTTGTGCCTAAAAGCACAATCGTTTCTGATCACGTATCTCAGCTCCAACGCAATATTTGACGCAGCAATCTTGTGTGTTCAACATGCAGTCTTGGAAAGTGTGTGTATACGAGTCCTTCTCTGTTAAATGTTTTAATAAAGTATCCTATTTAGCTTTGAAATGGAAGTGAAAAAAAACAACTAAAACGATGTAGTACACTCTTCATTTCGGAATGTTACTCAAGTGGATTCGCATCTCATCTGGAGTGGGTCTTAACTTCATATTTGAAACTGAAACAATAATGAACATATTTCTCTTTTTACATCTCAAAGCAAATAGTTGAGTAACTGTAGTTTTTTTTAAAAACAAGGTGTATAGCCTTTAGCTTTATCCTCAGGAACACAAACAATTTAAACAAGTCAGAGAACTGGAATCTTTTCCAATTTTTGCCTTGAAGTTGTTATGAAAGTGGCTCGAAAGCTTGTTTCTTCAAGTTTTATTCAATCTCAAGTTTTGCGATGAGGCACAGTCGTGTTTCCTCATTTAAAACCAGCTCTGCCCACACCAACGCGTCCATTCGATGCTGTCCAGGCCAGGCGTCGTTTCTCCGTCCTTTTTTTTCCACCTTCTCCATCAGGCCTGTGCAATATGACACAGTTCGTGCACACGTTCATTTCAAAATACAGCATGGCTGCCAGCGGTTTAAAAATCAGTAATTACATCCCTCCTCCTTTTTGTTGTGCCTGTTTTTTTTTTAATTTCCAGGCTAAAGTCAAACAACTCTGAGGATGTCATCCGCTGTCTGTCACAGTGTCCCTGCCCTGAAAACTGGCTCACAGCATTTGAAAAGAATTCTTCTTGAAATTCTTGTATTATTCTCTGAGAGGAAAGGCAGGCTGGAAAAGCTAAACCGAGGTCATTTTACTCTCACTCTGCCCTCTGATTGCAGAAGAAAATGGAGGAGGGCGCGCGCAATCAGTAGAAAAACGACTGAGGCGTGAACCCTGATTAAATGATTAAATGAGGATCCCATCTTCTGCCCTGGCCATGACGCCGGCCACAGTATTATAAGGTGGTGTAAATAGAGAAATGTGACATATTGCCAATAGTAGAAAAAACAATCTGTAAATATGTAAAGAAATCAAGATCAAAGAGCTTACATCTTGTTCTTACTGTCAGACTGAAATGGAGTAGGAAAAATAACACTGGACTTGTAGTAAATAAATATTGTTAATACATTCTAGCTGGCATCATGTTCATCTTTTTTAAGTGTGTCTCTGTGTGTACAACATGTCAGTGTGAATGCATTTGGTTTTTATTCGGAGAGGTAAGGTAAAAAGAGAAGCATGAAGAATACTTTAAGGCCGACAAATGCTTTATTTAACAAAACTTTGACCCCGTCTGTTATTAGGTATAACATCAACACAGAATTCCTTTGCTTTACACTTTGTTTTTGTCAAATATTGCACTAAAGCATAGATTCTGAATAATTTATAACTCTGATTAGGATCAGAGATCAGTCATGTTGACTCATTCTTGTTTGTACAAAATGATTACACCATACTGTCTTACAACTTGTTTCCACATTATCAGATATTCTACATTTACATTTCAGATTTATGGTATAATAGGCTTCATATCAAGGACATTTCTGCCTATTTTTTGTGAAAACAAAAAAAAACAGGAATTGTGATTTATTGTAGTTTAAGATTTTTTGGGACTATTACATATTGGGTTAAGATCATCATTTCCATGATTGTCTAAACCCAAGAAATGCAATCTGAAGTATCTGGAGTGGAACATATAAATCCAAAAGTCCCAAATATACCGCTAGAGGGCAGTGTTGGCTCACCAACGCAGCCTCTTTGGTCAGAAACTAATTCCATCGCATTAAACCGTTCAGAATCATTCATTATAAAAGTCAAATGGAGACCATCTGTTATAGATTGGACATTAATGGTGTTATTCAAATTTAGTTAAACCAAGGAGAAGCTGGCAGAGCACTTGTCTTTATGCGGTCTAAATCGCCGCATTTGAATCCCATTAATCTTCCTCTTACTTCTCTACTCCAAACTCCAGTCGGATTAGATTGCTTTGTTCTATCTTCCCTCTGAACCATTTCGGTTTGGAGAGTGAGGAGGGGTGACCCCTGAAAAGACACC